AACAATGAGCTAATGACACTGCTAATGACACAGCTAATGACACTGCAGGCTATCAGGACTTCACCACCATCCTCCAGTCCTTCAGTCAATTCCACACAGCAAAAGGTCATGCAAAGCATGTAGAAGGCTCAGTCAGCATCCTTTTTCCACTCTGTATCTATGAAGACAACTAAGCAAGATTAGCAATGTTTTGTACACGTGTTCAGCAGATGATGATCCTACTGGCAGGAAAGAGCAACAAAACAAAACAGAAGTGTATCTCTGAGACAGTATATGCAATGTGCCCAAACTGAATCCCAAAGGATATTTGAGGATTGTGTATGGTAGCCCTAAATTCATACACTCCCCGTGAACACTAAGTCTTAAGTACCATACAAGTCAATGCATAACTAAATATAATTAAAATGCACCAAGTAACACAATTTATTGATCTTTCACACAACTTTTTAGTTACCAGCAACCACGGGATGCCCATCTGCATCAAAAGAAAGTCCCAGATGGTAAATTTCATGCCTGTGAGTTGTCCTCTATTGCGACCATTGAGAAATTAAGTCCTTCCTTCACGCTGTCCTTCTGCTTTCATCATTCTGCCCAGCATCATGATGTGAGAAACAATTAGTGAGAAGCAATCTAAGCAAAAAGGAACATGTACCTTCTGTGGAAGCTGCTGCTGAGCAGTTTGCTGCTGTTGCATGACCTTGGGAATAGCAGCTGAGGGCTCCTGTGCTTTGCCCTCCTTGAACTCGCTGACTTTGTGCCGGTAGTACGCATGGTAAGGATCGTTGGGATTCAAGAAATTGAACTTAGGGTTATTTATTTCATTCTGACGAATTCGAGCTTCAAATTCTGGCCCATTTCTGCAGGGTGGAAAAATAAAAGTTTAGATAACGGGTATCAACTCAAGCACAGAAGCCCATTTCTTTCACAGCAGGCTGTGTTCATGCGTCTGCCTTCCAGCAGGCAAATTTCTCTCCTGCGTGGAAGAAGTTTACCTCTCCCTACCTCTAAATAACCCACACCCAACACAGCAGCCAGTCACACACATACAGTTATGTGTACATGAGCTAATTCAGTCTTCAGCATTTCACAGCAAGCATTTCTTAGGACAGTTAAAAACTTCCCATTCCACTGGGAATACTCAAATCAAACATGACTGGATGAAGACATGGTTTATTGGAAGATATTCACGAGCTCCTTACTAGACTACCAAGTTCTTAAAACTAGTTTCGTTTCAAGAAGGTTCAGCTAAAGAAAAGGTAGGTAATCACCAGCCTGCTCAGAGATGGACCACACTGGAGAGCTCCACTGCTGCATTTAGGAGAGCCAGTTTTAGCTCCTCTACTCCCACCTGAAGTTAACAGCTACTTATTTTCTGAGGGGAGATTAAGAAAGCTAAAAGCTTGCTGCAGCATGCTTCCCTTCATACTCTCTGGCCCTGTTTAGGCACTAAGTCTCTCCCAAAAGAAGATGTTTCTACAATAGGAGAGGATAAACAAAGTTTCTTCCTTATCTTCAAAGCAAGCTCAGGCTCCTCAGCAGCATTTTAGAGATCAGTTACACAGCAAGAGTCTCTGACCAGACCATCATTTAGTAATTGCCTTAAACCAGCAGTTCCATTTTAGCAATGTGGAAGCACACAGCGTCCAGCCTGCCTGGATGCCATGCAGAATTCACATAGCCAGCTGAGGAATTCACTTCCTGTGCTATTTGTACTCGGCCAGAAAGACCGAGATCCAGTCCCTTGATACCCCACATAGCATGAAGGCAGCCAGAAATACTTCAGCATTTTAAGAACATAGAAGACGACGGCCAGGCCAACAGCAGCAGCTTGTGTTTGCATGTTGATAACAGGAGGAAAAAGCCCGAATGAGTAAAACACATCAAACTTTCAGGTTTCTCCCCCACCTATGACATCTATAGTTGTGATCATCAACCTGCTAATCAAAACATGCCACGCACATGACGGGCAGCTTGGCTACCCCAGACCTCTCCCTGAGAACATGCACTTCTACCCCCTGGGCTATAGAGGGGGAGAGACATTGGAGTCAGCATGCCCCAGAGGCTGGGGCACTTCATGGAGCTGTAGGCAAACAGGGATGGGACTGAGCCTTGGGAATCCAGCATACCCTAAAAGAGGTGACTGCCTACACATTGTAAAATAGAGTGAAAATAAATTAATGACTTCTTTGGCTCACTCACTGAGTGAAGTGCTAGTAACAAGGCTTCCTTTCCTTTCTACCTGGAACTTTGTTTGCCCTTCAGGCCATTTTAAAAAGAATTTATTTACTACCACAGCTTTTCTAGCAAAGCACACGTTACATCTCTAAGAAGACAACTGCTGCCTCTTTTCTACAACCTCTCTGGTAAAAATTCAATCCTTGAAACCTCTATGGAACGCTGTGGGACTGTGACCAGTTTCAGCTTCTGGAGACAGACAGACAGTAGCACTGGGAGGTGAGAGGCAGAAGAATCCCACAGAAGACAAGACAACACTCGTGCTGTTTACCTGGCTACGAAGCTGGCAGTCTTGTCAACAATATTCCTGACCTCAGGAGGAGGATAAATAATTCCCACCACAGGCTTGGCTGGTGCTGCTTCCTCTTTTGGCTCCTCTTCTGGCTGCAATAAAAACATTTTTCTTACAGTCTTTTGTACTGTTACCTCCTAAGTAGAAGAATATTCCTGTACCACCACCTCACCATCGCTGGAAGATACCTTTCACTCCGCAATATTTGCAACTAGTCAAGACAGTAAATTCAGATTAAATCTAGCCTGGTAACAAGAAAAGGGACTACAAATGATCTCAAATGATCTCAAATATCACAATTAGCACATATCAAATTATCACATCAGCATCAGAGTGTGAAAGCACAGCCTGGTAGTTTCCAAACATACACCAGGTTTATTTTTAGTGAGTTGAGCTGTAAAATTCACTTCCCTCTCTCTATCAGTTTCCTCATCTGCACCTGGAGTAACAGACCTAAGGTACCTTAGTGAGCTGTTCTGAAATACCATGCTGAGAGAGTGCTCTGTAAGAATTAAGTACTTCAAACAGCAACTCCTGCAGTGGACAGAACTGCCTATTCTCCTCAGTCCCCAAAGCACTGAATTTTCCTGGCACCAAGACACGGTTTAACAATCTGAACCTGCAGTCCTGCAAGGCAGCAGCACTCCCCAGCTTCCCAGGCAGGGAGATGGTGTTTGTCAGCCTGTCAAGGGCACCTGCTGCGGGGGCTGCTGCAGAGAGGCAAGCAGGAAGGCTGTCCCACGGGAACCAAACAACTCTTCCCAGTGTTTCTGCTCTTTCAGCTTCAATCCAGTGCAAGTTTATAGATGCTGAGCCAAGATGTAGCAAAGCGTGCCTCTAACACCACACATAGGAATAATTCAGCACTGCTGGACAGCTCTGGAAGTTAAGAGCATTGCAGGCTGGATATTTGGATAAATTTATTTTCAGAAAGAGCAGTGCTGCACTGGCACAGCTGCCCAGGCAACAGTGGAGTCACTGCCCCTGGAAGCTTTCAAGAAATGTGTGCATGTGGCACAGAGGGACGTGGTCAGTGGGCACAGTGGGGTGGGGTGACAGTTGGACTAGATGATCTCAGTGGTCTTTTCCAACCTTAATGATTCTACAATTCCTAATGGTCTGCAGGGCTACCAGAAATAAGAATCTAAGTGCTCAAACCAACATTAAATAACACACAGCTTCCCATCTTACTAAGGCTGCATTAAAGACTTTCCCATAGCTGAGAAGAAATCAGCAGGGTGTTTTCCTCTCTGCAGCTGTGGGAGGACCTGAACCACAGCCCCAACACTCTCCCGAGGGCAGCTTTGCCTTTCAATGCAACCAGCTGCAGTTCTTTGCAGGATGCTGAAGGTGCCTCCCTTCCCTCACAGCACAGCTTTCACAGAACAGACACACGGGACATCTTTATAATCACTGAAAGCCTGGCAGGTTGTTACCTCTTGTTAATTCCCTGAAAGCTTCAAGAGATAAACTTTTAATCGGGCTGCATATTAGGAAATATTTCTTCTCCAAAGAGTGGTGCTATGGTAGCACAGCTGCCCAAGCAGTGGTGGGGTCGCTATCTCTGGAGGTGTTACAGAACTGTGGAGCTGTGGCACTGAGGGATGTGGGCAGGGGGCACGGTGGGGGTGGGCTGAGGTTGGACCTTGGATCCAAGGGATCTTTTCCAACCTTAATGATCTAAGAAGCAAATTAAGAGGAAGACACAACGACTCCTTTCAACTTTCATTCCCACTTCTTCCAAACAGCAAAAAGCATTAAGCCCAGGGATGTCTGATCACCCAGCGCCGTGTCGCCTCGCTGCGATGCCGCAGAGCTGTGGGCAGCCGGGAGGCCGAGGGACAGGGCCGTGCACGGGGACAGGGCCGCCGCTGCAGGCCTCGCTAACCCCGCCCGCGCAGTTCGCAGGCCCGAAGCCCTCCGGCCTCCCCTCAGCGCAGCTCTTACCGGTTTGCTCTCCGCGGGAGGAGCTGGCTGCGCCGGAGGCCCGGCCTGCACGGGACCGGCCGGCATGGCGCTGCTCGGGATCTCTCGGTAAAGGCCGCAAAGAAAGGGGCAGCGCCGCTCACAAAATGGCGGCCGGGCGCCTTGAACTGCGCACGCGCGCCGGAAGTGACGCACCGCTCCGTGGCAGGAAGGGGCGGGCAGACGGGGGGCGCGCATACGCCGAAGGTTGTTCCGCTCGCGCACGTGGGGCGCAGGGGCAGCGGGCGGAGCTGCGCATCGCGGGGCGGGGCGTTGCCATGGCAGCGGGTGCGGCGCCGCGGCCTAGGCCCAGCCGCCGGCCCTACATCCTCACCTGTCCCCGGTTGGCCCCTCCCGGCGTCCCGGCTCCCTCAGTGCCCCCACCGCTGCTGCTTGCCCTCCTCAGGCACCCCTCACCCCAAATCTTCCAGCCCTGGGGACGCAGCACCTGTCCCCTCCATTCCCCTGGCAGCCCTTTGGTGTCACCCACGATTCGTTTTTAGCACTGCCCACCTTTGCCCCACAGAGACTGTCCGTCCATCTGTCCATCTGTCTGTCCACCCAGCCTCGTCCTGCAGCATGGCACACCTCCTGGGTCACCCTGGCTGCATGGCAAGCCTGCAGGCCGACCTGAGAGACCTGCAGGGAGCCATCGCTGACGTCACCTCCCGCACTGGCCCTGCACGCTTCCCCTCCTGGAAGTTCCCCAACAAAGTGTCCTGTGAGCTGGATCTGGTGGTGTTGCTGGAGAGGTACAGCCACGCCGAGGGTGACCCCGAGTTCAGCCAGCACGCACATGTGGTACTGCTGGAGCTGGTGATAGACAGGTGAGCGGGCAGAGCGCCCTGCAAAAAGCAGCTGGGGCACAGCGGCTCCTTCCCCATGGAGGGAAGATGTCTGGCCTGTTTGATGCGGTGGTTTGGGCAGCGGGCTGGAACTGGGTGGTCTTTGAGGTCAAAGAATCATAAAATCATTGGGAGGTCAGATGTCCAACTCCCTGCAGTGAACAGGGACACCCACAGCTAGATCAGGGTGCTCAGAGCCCTGTCTGGCCTGGCCTTGAATGTCTCAATCCCTTGGAGCATTTTTCGGGCCCTCCTCTGGCTGTGCTCCAACAGCTCCGTGTCTCTCCTGCACTGAGCACTGACCATCTGGACGCAGCACTGCAGGTGAGGTCTCACAGCACACAGCAGAGGGGCAGATCCCCTCCCTCTGGCTGCACTGCTTTGGATGCAGCCCAGGATACGGTTGGCATTTCAGGCTGTGAGGGCAGAGTGCTGGCTTATATCCTGCTGCCATCCATCAGTACCCCCAGGTCATTTTTGGCAGGGCTGTGCTCAATTCTTTAGTCCCCTGCTTGTATTGATAGCGGGGGTCCCTTTCAACTCAAGCTATTCTATGATTCTATGAAAATAACTCAATTTTAAAGATGAGCCATGCCCTCAGAGCTATCTCTGGATACCTGGTCCTAACAATACGCCTTCAATAACAGCAGTGAGTGCCCCACATCTTTATGGAGAGTCTAACTGCAGCCCCTTGGAGTTACATCCTGGTGCTGCAAGGGGATTTAATCCTTCCCGGTCTTGTTCCAGGCCTGAGGGTTATACATACACTGAAATCCAGCCACCTTTGCTGCCGTGCTGGTTTTTCAGGCTCACTGCTCTGTTAAATGCCAAGGGCCTTCTTCCCGTTACAAATATTTTATTCCTCTAAGCTGTGTTTCTTTTCCACAAAGGCTGCTGCTGCTGCTGCAGAGCTTCACGGGCTATGCAGAAAACCTGCTCAGCGAGCGAGCTGTGCCCCCAGCGGAGGCAGTGGGACCCTGCATGTCGGCAGGGCTGACGGTGAGGAGGTACTGGCACAGCATGCTGCGACTGGGAGCCTGCTACCAGCAGCTTCAGACTGAGGTGGGACATACAAGGGTGTGCGGGCACAGTGGCTCAACAGCCACACAATTACGATATGCCAGGCATGCCCATGGCACGGGGCTGATGTTGCAGTCTTTCTCTGAGATGCCATGGTACATGTAGTGGCTGCTCCATGCACTCCCTGACTGTGACCTCCAGGCTTCCACCAGGGTTTTGGGACTGGGGAGCCTGGCTGCTCTTATTGCTTGGAAAAAATATTCTCACCTTACCAATGTGCTACCTCTGTGGGTCTGCTGACCCACACTGTGTGGGGCTGAGGTGGCCTAAATCAGTGAAATGATTTGTGGTAAAAATGCCATGCCTCTCCCCTGTGTTTTATTTTCAAAATGATGCCTTTTGTGGCATAGTGTCAGAATAATTCATCTCACATAGCCAGGAGACAGTACAGTGAGATGTGACAGAAGGGAAAATAACAAAAACAAGAGCCAGGGAGGAAGTTCTGCTGCAGCAGCCTTGTGAAACCACAGCTCTGCTATCTAGCAGGCAGTGACCAAAAAGCTACCTGTGAGCTTGAGAAATTCAGTTCCCTTGTGCCAGGCAGAACCAACGGTAACCCATGCTGTGTGTAAACATCATTTTGCTTACAGGGCACCTGCTTTCATGGTAACATAATAAACAGTGAACCCTGAGCACTGTACTCCAGCAACCTCTGAGGGTGCACGTTCTGACCTTGTAGCTTCTTGGCTGCACTGATATCTTGTCCCCATCCTTCATATCTCTGCATTCAGCTCTCCTGAATTGTTTGCTGATAATGGATCACAGAATCACAGAATCACAGAATCACAAGGTTGGAAACAACCTGCAAGATCATCCAGTCCAACCCCCCTCCCATTCCTATCAGTACCACAAGCACTAAACCATTTCTCGTAGCTCCTCATCCAGGCACCTCTTGAACACTGCCAGGGACAGCGACTCCACCAGCTCCCTGGGCAGCCATTGCAGTGCCTGACCACCCTTTGAGAGAAAAAGTTTCTCCTAATATCCAACCTAAACCTCCTCTGGTACAACTTCTGGCTGTTTCCTCGGCTCCTGCTATTTGCCTGGGAGAAGAGGCCAGACCCTTTTGCACCACAACCTCCCTTCAGGAAGTTGTACAGTGCAGTGAGGTCTCCCCTGAGCTCCTCTTCTCCACACTGAACAATCCCAGCTCCCTCAGCCGCTCCTCATAAGCCCTGTGCTCCAGACCCCTCACCAGTTTCGTTGCCCTTCTCTGGACACGCTCCAGGGCCTCAATGTCTTTCTTGTAGTGAGGGACCCAAAACTGAACACAGCACTCGAGGTGCGGCCTCACCAGTGCTGAGTACAGGGGGATGATCTCCTCCCTGCTCCTGCTGGCCACACCATTTCTAATGCAGGCCAGGATGCCCTTGGCCCTCTTGGCCACCTGGGCACACTGTTGGCTCATGTTCAGCCGAGCATCAACCAACACCCCCAGGTCCCTTTCCTCTTCACAATCATCCAACCACTCATCCCCAAGCCTATAACGCTGCCTGGGGTTGTTGTGCCCAAAGTGCAGAACCCGACACTTGGCCTTGTTGAACCTCATCCCATTCACCTCAGCCCAGTGATCCAGCTTACCTAGATCCCTCTGCAGGGCCTCCCTGCCCTCAGACAGATCCACACCACTTCCCAACTTGGTGTCATCTGCAAACTTACTCAGGGTACACTCAATCCCTTCATCTAAGTCATTAATGAAGATATTAAACAGGATGGGCCCCAGCACCGACCCCTGGGCGACACCACTTGTAACAGGTCTCCAGCTGGACTTCACTCCATTGACCACCACCCGTTGAGCACGGCCCTCCAGCCAGTTCCTTATCCAACAGAGTGTAAAACTGTCCAAGCCATGGGCAGCCAGTTTCCGCAGAAGGATACTGTGTGAGACCATGTCAAAGGCTTTGCTGAAGTCTAGGTAGACTACATCAACTGCCTTTCCTTCATCTACCAGTCTGGTCACCCAGTCGTAGAAGGAGATGAGGTTCAGTCTGGGCTCTATGTTTGTGTCCTGTGCTCTTTTCACCAGAAGAAGACTTGCAGGAAGGATATCGCTGCACTCCAATCCACCTCTGAGGCTGAGAGAACTGCAAAGGAATGCTTGAAGGACTGCTTGCCATCTACTTCAGAGTCAAGCACACCCCCAGGTGCTGCCCAACCCAGCTCCCCATGGCAGGCTGTCAGCAATACCTCAGGCAGCTCCCAGCCCAGATCTGCCTGGAGCACTGAGGGCAGCTGCAGCATCCACACACAGGCAGCAGAGCCTCCAGCACCCTGTGACACCTGTGACAGCTTCCAGGCTGGCTTTCAAGAGGTCAGGAAAGCCATCATCAGCATCTGCCAGAGCCAGAACATCCCCTCAGCTCTAAGCAGGTTCCAGGAGGTGGTGGAGGGCACTGAGGGGAGAAGGATCCTCTCTGCAAGTGATGTGAGCTACTGGGTCTCGGAGCAAAGCAAAGACCTCTCATGCATCAACAAACACCTCCACACACTGCTGGAGCAGCTCAGCCCTCTGAAGTCTGAGCTGTCAGAGTCAAAGAAGGAGAAGGATGAGCTGCAGAAGCAGGTGGAGGACTTTGCTCGGCTGCTTCAGGTGGAGAAGGAGACCCAAGCACGGCAGAGGAAGGAGGCTGAACAGAGCCTAGAAGTAAAGAACAAAGAGCGTTTGGAGGCTGTAGCCAGGCTGGAGCAGGACAAGGATGATCTACGGAGAGGTACAGTGCTGTCTGCTGTCCCCTGCACCCCCTCCCATGTCTGGGGGTATTTGCAGGAGGCAGCAGCCTGCAGTCAAATCTTGGTTCCAGCACCACGAGCAGGGCTTTGGCCACTAGTTTTGCTAAGTCCTGCATCAGTGGTGAGAAAATGCTCCCTGTAGGGTCATTACATAGTTTTCAGATGTCTGGCATGGCTGAGACAAGGGGACGAGCCATGCTGTGGGTTTACCTGGCCCTTTATCCATGCATTGACAGCAGCTGCTGGAGTAGATGAAGGCTCCTCCACTGGCATCACTGGCTTTCCTGATGTCCTCATCATCTCCCAGCTTCTGCTGCTGCTTCTCCATTCCCATCATCTCATTTTCCACCACTGCAAGCTCCACATGCTCTCTGTGTCCCATCTCTGCAGCATTTCACATGCTGGCAGCTGTTCCCTGCTGGGAGCCTAACCCCCAGCAGTGGGAGCTGCTTGCCCTCATCATCTCACTGCCTCCTCCCTGCTGAAGCACAGCATGATACAATTACTGGGTGAAAAGATGCTTTGGCACAGTCGTTTTCTGCCTCTTTGTTTTAATTTGAGGAGCTGTTTAATGTTTAGTAGTCTTTTGTGCTGATTTAGGAGCTGCTCTGCTGGAAGAGCGAATCTCTGCCCTAAAGGAAGCACTGGCCATGAAGCAGGCTGCTGTGCAGGAGCTGGGTAAGAACCTGGGGTGCTCATCCAGTTGGCACATCTCTCCCTGAGTCTGGCTCTGATCTCACACATTTTTCTCCCATGTAACTCCTGGCTCTCCCAGAATCTGTTGGGTTAAACCTAGTGGGAATGAAAGGATGACATGACCTCACTGCAGTGCCCAAACATCATCCAGCACCAGGGTGGGTTGGTACTGGTGCTGGCTGAGATTTGAGGTTCCCTGGGACACCAAGAGCCCTGCTACCATCCCTCTCCAGCACTTGCAGAGGCTGTAGGGCCCCTAAAGACACCTCCTGGCTTGGGAGCATCTTCCTATTCTGCCCAGCCTGTGCCACAGTTGCTGTGCCTCCCCAGAGGCAACCAAGCAAACTTTGCTGGAGGACTTGAAGACTGCGATGGTGGCCAGGAGCCGGATGCTGGAGCTGGAGGAGGAGGTGCAGCTGCTCACCAGACAGCGGGACAGCCTGGGCCAGGAGCTGAGTGCAGTCACTACCCAGCTGGAGAAGGAGAAGGCCAAAGTGGAGAGCACACTGAGGCACGAGAAGGTATGAATAGAGCTCTCTGGAGCTGTCCAGTTGTGACCACAACCTCCCACTGCCATGGGTGCTGCTTCTCCCTGGCACTGGCATCAGGGCAGCAGCAGCCTCCAGCAGGCTCACCTCCCTGCACAGTCCCTGCAGGCCAAGCAGAGCACCCTGCTGCAGCAGCTGGACAGCCTGGACCAGGAGCGTGAGGAGCTGCAAGCTAGCCTGGGGGAGGCTGAGGAGAACAGAGCCCGGATGGCAGAGCAGCTGCAGGAGAGCCAGAAGCAGAAGGAACAGAGCATGCACCAGCTACGAGTGCAGCAGGTACCCAGCATTTGTCAGGGGAGCAGCCAGGACAGGACACAGCTGTGCCACAGGGCTCCCAGGAGCCACCTCTGCCCCATCTCACACTTGTGGGCAGTTCTCCCAGGACAGTGGCTCTGACAGCTAATTTGACATTGCCACAGGGCCACTTCCACGTAGTGACCCTTCTCTCTCAGACTCATTTCACAGTTGCTCGAAGCAGCCTGTGCTTCAGACACACAGAGATCATTACAGATCATTACAGATCATTACAGGGACGACGTTGTCCCTCTGTTTGGGGATATCCTTATCCCATTAAGGACAGGCTTCCCCAGACTGTACCATAATGAGGTTTGGGAAGGTGCCCCCAAAACTCACCCATCTGTTGTGGCCCCACAGGAGTTGCTGGACACGTTGCAGCAGGAGAAGCTGAGCCTGGAGCAGTGCATCTCCAAGCTACGGGAGAATGTCTCTGGGCTGGAGGAGCAGACAAAGGAGCTGAAGGAGCGGGAGAAACTCCTGGTGTTCTTCCCTGAGCTCCACATCCCCGTTGAGACACAGTTTGAGAGTAAGGCACAGGGCAGCGGGCAGCAGTGCCTGCTTTTGCAGCAGCGGGCTTGTACCTCTGGGGTCTCCTGGAGCTCAGGCGGAATCCTGTCAGCCCTGGGCACATTGGTGTCACTTGTGTAACAGTCTGTCCTCCTGACATGAGTCAGTTGCAGCCAGGAAGGGCTCAGTCCCTGTGAGGCACTAAGCCGCTACCATCTTAACCTGATTCTTTATGTGGGTGCTGTGTCCCACATCTGGCACAAAAGCAGGGCAAGGACTTGGACATGGCTGCATTTGTCCTTGCTGTTTCAAATGACAGATTGGGGTCCCAGCTGCCACTTCCAGGGTCGTGCTGCCAGTTCAGGAAGGTTCATTTCCAGCAGCTATCGCCTTGCTCAAGAGGAAAGACAGAAGAGCAAGTGGTCCCAGGCAGCAGGGACAGGCTCTGCTGCCAGCACCTCTGTGCTGGTAGTGTGTTGAGTTTGGGATTGACATGAAGTGCCATGTTTCATTTGCAGGCACTGGGAACATCACCGAAGACATGGAGAAGCAGCTGCAGGCCAACCACATCAGGATCGGTGTGCTGGAGCAGGAGAACACGAGGCTCATGGCTGCACTGGCCAAGGTGAAGGCAGCAGCTCAGCAGGGCGTGCTGCAGGTGAGCTGGGGGGCTGGCAGGATGGGGTACACTGTGTGCCCCAGGGCCACCCTGCAAACCCTGTCCCACAACCCCTGGCGATCAGTTCCTTGGCCGTGCACTTAAAGGAGGTAAAAAAAGAGGAAGGCTGTGGTGCTCCTTATGCAGCATTGCCTGTGGCTCCGGATCTGCTTCTCGTGGGGCTGAGCAGGACAAAGCCCAGCTCCCTGGTTCTGTGGTGTCTCTCCAGAGATCAGTCTGGTTGAACCAGCAGCAGTAATCTGCTTTGCTGAGGTGCCCGGGGCTGGTTCCCAGCTTCCTTACATCAGCCCTCGTGGCTGCTGTGCCTCCATTTCGCCACTACCTGCTCAGCAGTGAAATCCACCCACAGCAGAAGCCAAGATAAGCAATCACAGAGCCAAACACAGGAGTTTCACCTCCTCTCTCTTCCCCAGCACATCCCACAGACCCAGCTGTGGACTCAGCTCAGCACTCAACGCAGAGGGGAGGCTGCAGGGTGAGTGGGAGCACAGAGGACAGCACTGGGGGGGCTTCCACTTCTTACCCCCTTTCAACCTCTTCCACTTCTCCCCTCCACAGACTCCCAAGCAGCCAAGGCAGCGGAGATGGCACAGGATCACAAAGAGCCACCAGCAAGGCCTGGCAGCGATCTGTGGGCAGCCAGCAACATCAGCTGCTCCCAGCAGAACCTGCACGTGAGGCCAGAGCCTGCATCACGCTGCCAGCAAAGGGCCTGGCGCTGGCTCCCCACAAGCCCAGAGGGAGCAGCAGTACAACCAGAGCACACCACTTCTTGCACCGCAAATAGCTGCTTGGGTAACTGAGGAAGAGATGAAGCATTAATGAGCAGCACACAGCTAATCCCTTTATCCCTGCAGGACCTCGTTACCTGTTGCAAACATGAAGGTACATTCCCTTGGGAAACTCGGTCTGCCTGCCTGTTGTTCTGTGCCCAAGGAACAGTGTTGCTGAGTGGGTGTAACACTCATGGGCAGTGGTTCCACAGCATCTGGGAGGCTGAAAGAAGGCTTGGCTAACAGCCAGCCAGCAGCTGTTGCTTCGCCTTGTTTGCTGCAGGATGGTGGCCGCAATAAACCTGTCTGCGCAGCTTCCCCTGCTGGCCCTCTGTTGAGCAATGTGAAGTGCAGGGCAGTGGAGTGCATGGGTTGGGCTGCTGTGTTCCCCTCCTCCCACAACACAGCAGCCCCAGCACCACTGTATAGTGTTGGTGACTGGAGCGGGTTCAGGTACAAGCACTGTTGGCAGCAAGAGGACCAGCATTCAAGGAAGGAGGCCTGGGGGAAATTTTCAGCAGGCAGAGATGGCTCTGAACAACGAGCAGAGCAGGGCTGGCGGCATTCCTGGCTACTGGAGTTCAGCTGCCTGTAGCTCAGCTGCTGCTGCAATCCGTGGCACAGCTCTGATCCTGACCAACTCAGAAGCACCCACACAATGCCTAAGCACAGTGAGGCTCAGGGAGCTGTTCCCAGGAGGTGGCTACACAGCTTTGAAGAGAACTCACAGGCTTAACTTGCCAGCACGGGCTGCAGCCTAGAAAGCTCTCCTGCAGCAGAGAAAAGTGGTCAGCAGGGCCAAGGACCACACAACACAGGACACAGCAGCCTCTCTGAGCTCTGTATTTAATAGCAACGGCCACGAGTAGTGCTGCAGCTCCAGCTGCCACATGGAACAAGAGCCCTTGTGGGCTCACAGCGAGTCCCTGAGCACTCTGTGTTCAGCTAACTCATACTGTCCTTTCTAATAAGTTAGTATAAATAAGGTGGCCCATCCTCCCCCCCACCCCCACCCGTCCCTCAGCTATGGCAGAGCCCCAGGTGCAGGCGGGCTCCCAGCCTGGTGCAGCCACAGGCAAATAGAAAAGACTTAGAAAAAATGATGAGCAGGGAGAGGGAACAGCCAGACCTGCGCTCTTCCCTTCAGTACCTGCAGACTCCGCCGACAGCCTCAGTGGCCCCTCCCCAGTTATACCCACGAGTGCTTTCCCTGGCACCCATCCCCCAGCCATTTGGCTAATGCCCAGCCATGCCCCTGGCCCCTCTACTCACACCAAGCAGGGAGAACCCCCCAGAGTCTTCACTCTCCTAAGGGCCAGGCTCTGCCTGGTGCTGCAAAGGGCATGGCTGCACTGAGCCTTGCTCCAGTTCCAAGCACAGCTCACCCCACGCCTGCCCTGTTCTTCCCCAGCTCTTCCCAGAGCAGCCATGGGTCCGTCTGTCCCTGGAGCACGTCCGTTGGGCCGACTAGCTCTCTCCACAGCAGTTCCCTGCAAGGGAGAAGGATGAGGGGGTGTCACACAGGGATCACAAGAGCAGAGCAGCCTGTGGCTGGCACCACTTCCTCCCAGCCCTCGTCCTGGCATGAACACGCTCCCCAGAGAGTGAACTGGGGTGCAGGATGTGTGCGGATCCATCAGGATCCCCCAGTCCTAGAGCTGCTCTCACCTAGGATGTTATGCTTGCAGAGTGGGCAGGTCTGCTGCAGGAGGAGCCAGGGGTCCACACAGTCCCGGTGAAACTCGTGGGAACATGGCAGCACGCGCAGCCACTGCAGGGAGAGAAGCAGGTGGGACATGTGAGCCACGAGGAGCAGGCAATCTGCCCCCTGCCCGCAGAGGGGGGCAGCCCCCAACCACACGTCCCTCTCACGAGGACACCCCCGCCCTGATGAAGCACGAGAAGGCTCAGCCACCACAGAACAGAGCCAAGGGGTGGCGTTAGCACGCGTGGCCCCAAATCGTCACTGGGACCAACCCCACCAGTCTGACCTGGCTCTTGCTGAACTGGTCCAGGCACACGGCACAGCTGTCTATCTCGCAGGCCCGGCTCCGCAGCGCCTTGCCAGGATTGTACCGCCGGGTCTTCAGGGCCAACAGCCGCCGCCGAATGAGCTGCTTCAGGTCCAGCTGGAGACACAGAGCGGGAGGTGAGGCGAAATGAGCGGAGCGTAGAATCATGTCGGTTGGAAGAGATCCATTAGAACATCAAGTCCATCAACTAACACTACAGTTCCAACACTCAGCTATGTCCTTAAGTGCTATGCCACACATCCCTTAAATACCTACCAAATACTTTCAATATCTCCAAGAGATAGTGACTGCTGCCTCCCCGGGCAGCCCTTCCCACACCTAACCACCCTTTTTGTGAATAAATTTATCCTCGCATCCAACCTCAACCTCCCCTGGTGCAATCCGAGCCCGCTGCCTCACGTCCCATCTACACTTCACGTGAGAGAAAGAAACCGACGCCCTCCTTGCCGCAACCTCCTTTCAGGAAGTTGCAGAGAACAATGAGATCTCCCCTCATCCTCCTTTCCTCCAAACAAAACAGTCCCCTCTCCCCACGTCCCACCTCAGCATCCCGCTCCGACAGGCCTTGCCGTGACTGCCGCTGCGCCTGCACGATCACCCCCGTGCAGAGGAGCAGAGCGACGAGCAGGATGGTGTTCCACAGCTGCTGCAGGTACTTCTGCAGGAACAGCACCACCAGGCGCTCAGGGGGCGAGGGGGAGACCCTTGCTTCACCCCCAGCATCACCCCCAGCTGCGGTGACACCGAGGAGTGGCCATGGGGACACCTGTGACACACCTGGACCTGCGAGCTGTTCTCCCCGGTGCAGATGACACCCTGCCACTCGCCGTAGAGGCCCCCTCGGGACAGGCCACAGGTGGACCACAGGGTGAGCGTCACCCCCTGCAAGGCAGGACGCCGCGTCACCACAACAGCATGTTGCAGCACAGGAGGCAGGACTGAGAGACACCGGCAGCTCCAACAGCCCTTGCAGAGCTGGCTCCGGCTCCTTGCAGGTTTCCCCACTGCTGGGCATGGCCGTGCCTCTGTCCTCATACCCAAGCAGAGGAGATGGAGGACTTACATACCAGGTTCTCCAGCAGCACCGCCTGGTATGTGATCTTCGCTGTCGCCCGTAGTCCTCTATGAGCAAGAGGCACAAAGAGCATCAGCCACATGCAGCATCCCCAGCACCCAGCAGCCCTATTCCTGCTGGGCACTGAGGGAGGCCGCTCCTAAGACGTGTACAGGGACAGAGGGACACACAGAGGAAATGGCGGTGACATTTTCCACCCAGTCCTCTCAGCAACTACACAGAGATCACATCCCTGCTCCATGCCTGTTTCCCAATCAGTGAAGCCACCACAACTGCCCCTGCTCCCAAGCCAAGCTGAACGTGGCAGACACCTTCCGAGCCCCTTCTGCCTCCCCACATTGCACGAGTGCTGGCTGTGCTCTGCTGCCCACTGCACAAATCAGGCTGCTGCAAGGGAACGCTCACCGCAGCAGTGCTCCCAGCAGCCTGGTGACGTTGTCCGAGGATTGGATCACGATGACGGGCTTGGCAAGGAGCTGGGAGACATCCAGCTGCACCAGACAGAAAAGCAACAGCTGTGAGTGGGGCAGGTGCCCAGCGTGCTAGGAGGACTGCAGGGCTCTCCTACCTCTCGGATCGCATTCTGGTTCAGTGCCAGGATGAGCAGGGCTGAGGCCCCCAGCACCAGGGCTCGCTTCATCTGCAGGGACAGAAGGCTCAGCACAGCGGGCTGGCACTGCCCACATCCCTGCTGAGCGCCCCAGAAGGTGCCTGTGGGTTGCTGATGGAGCTCTCACCTTGCTGACCACAGCAGCAGTGAAGGACTCCTCCTTGGCACTGCGAGGGCTGTCTGCTGGCTCCTCACCCACGGGCACCACCCCGATCCAGCTGTCAGCAGCACCCAGCTCCGGCTCCGCATCCCCCACCTGGACACACGGACAGGTCAGGGACACACGGACAAGTCAGGGGCTGACGGCATTCCAAGGCAGCTGGGCAGCAGGCAGGGTGAGGGGACAGGGCTGGCAGCAGGGGAGCTGTGAGGGGGGCACACACAGGGGACGTGCCGACATCACACCCCCAGCCGCCCCCATCCAGCCCCCACACCGCCTCCCATGGCTCCAAACGCTCCCAGCGCTCCCCTATACGCCCCCAGTTCCCACCTTACCCCACCAACCCCAATCCCAGAGCTCACACGGGTCCCATCTCCCCGCGGTTCCAGCACTCCCCAGTTCCCCATATCGACCCCAAATACCTTCCCACACCCCACCTCCCCCAGCTCACCAACACCAGCCGCCCCCCGATCTCCTCTTCCCGCGGCTCCCCGCTGCCCGGCCCGCTCCCTCCTCCCAGCAGGGCCCCGTGCAGCGTGTAGGAGCCGCCGGGACCCGCCGCCGTCCCGTCGCCGTCCCCGGCCGCGTCCCCCGGCCCCGACACGGCCACTTCCACGTGGGCGGAGGCCGCCGGTCCCGGCCCGGCCCGGCTCAGCGCCAGCAGCGGCGCCAGCAGAGCGGCACGCAGCGCCGCCATGGCTGCACGGAGCCGCCGCACAGCGCCCCCATGAGGAGGGGAGGTCCAAAGGGAGGGATGGAGGATGAGTGCTTTCGGAGAGGGGGGAGGGGAAAAGAGGATGGGATGAGGACGAAGAGGGAAAGTGGAGGGGGAGGAAGCTCTGCTCTTCTTCCACGCTTTTAACTCAGCTGTTAAACACGACCGGGCTCAGTGCTGACATCGCATGCTCTCTGCTCCTTACTGAACGACAGGCTGGGATGGAGTAATGGAAATGAGGGGGAGACTGGGATGGGGGTTGAGAAGGGAAAGAGAACGTGAAGGGGAAATGGGAAGGATTTGGGATGGGAAGGATAAAGTAGAAAGTGGAATGGATGGGGATGAAGTTGCTGATGGGTAGTGGAAAAATGTGCATGGAATTGGATGGAGATGGAGATGAGAGAGAGGCATCGGTACCAGCTGTGGGATGGAGATTAATCTGGGTGCAGGGACAGGTACTGGGACTGGGATGTGATTGGGAATCACCACAGGGAGCAGGGAAGTGACAGGGACCAAACCCACCACTGGCACTGGTAGAGCACCAAGCATGGGGACAAGGCTGAAGGGACAGTGGGCCCCCATCCATGTCCCCTCGACATGTCACCACATACACACGTCCAGGCACACACGTGTAATGCTGGCACAGCATTCCCCAACCCCTTGCGACCCAAGCTAGGAAGTCTGCGGGGCTGTGC